GCAGCAGCAGCCTTAGCGTCTCCTGCCCGTCTCTGGTTTCCGAGCTTTTAGCCGCGGCTCCCGCCCGTTTCTGGAGCTCCTTTAGGCAGCGCTTTTAAAACCCCTCTCCTCGCGCCCCAGGAAACACAGAGGCAAGAAAAGGTCTCTTGCCTCTTGGGTAGGTCCAGACTTTCCCCCGGACTCCCTCCCGGCTATCCGTGGCGCACTAACCCCTTCGGGCTGTGTTCAAGCCGCCAACCCCAGTCCTCTCCCTGCGCTCCGACCGAAACCGAAACCGAGCCTCAGCTCGCAGCCCCGCCCGCCCCCGGCGGGTGAGCACACGAGCCTCTCGGGCTGGTGAGCGACGGTCGGTGCCGACCCTCTGTGCGGGAATCTCTCCACTTTGCCCTGCGCGCCCCTGTTGCTGTGCTGTCCTCCGCGGCTCCGAAGCTCCCCGCTCCGCCTCCCGCAATCTCTGCCCGCGAAGGGGCTCCTAGTGTGTGGAGACCTTTCCTCCTTCACGGCTCCCTCCCACTGGTGCAGGTACCGTCCTTATCCTTTTGTCTCTGTTTATTCTTTTTTCTCTTGCCCTACCCAGGTACGTGGGGAGTTTCTTGCCTTTTGGGAGGTCTGAGGTCTCCTGCCAGCGTTCAGTAGGTGTTCTGTAGGAGTTGCTCCACGTGTAGATGTATTTCTGGTGTATCTGCGGGGAGGAAGGTGATCTCTGCGTCTTACTCCTCCGCCATCTTGGAAAGAGTCTCGTGTTTTTTGTTTTTAAATAATTAAACTCGCAGCAAAGTAAGAATAGAAGGAAACAATCCCACGAGAGTTCTCTTTTCTCCGTATCCTTGCCGCCATTTATCTCTTACTTTTTGACGGTAGCCATTCTAACAGGTATGAGATAATACCTCATTATGGTTTTTGGTTTGCATTTCCCTAGTGACTAGTGATGTTGAGCATCTTTTCATGTACCTATTGGCCCTTTTTTTTTTTTTTTTTTTGCGGTACGCGGGCCTCTCACTGTTGTGGCCTCTCCCGTTGAGGAGCACAGGCTCTGGACGCGCAGGCTCAGTGGCCATGGCTCACGGGCCCAGCCGCTCTGCGGCATATGGGATCCTCCCGGACCGGGGCACGAACCTGTGTCCCCTGCATTGGCAGGTGGACTCTCAACCGCTGCGCCACCAGGGAAGCCCCCTATTGCCCATTTTTATATCTTCTTTGGAAAGATGTCTAATCAAGTCCTTTGCCCATTTTTAATTGGAGTATTTGGGGGCTTTTTGGCTATTGAATTATATGAGTTCTTTATGTATTTTGGGTATTAAATCCTTATGAGATATATGGTTTGCAGTCAGTGGACTGTTCCTTGATGACATCTGCATATCTTCTCAGTTTTCGAAGTAACATACAGGAGTGCCATCTTGTGTTAAGATATTTGGAGTCAGGCAGACCTGGATATAAAAACTGGCTCTGAAACTTGCTGCATTCTAGCGCTTCACTGCCCTAAAATATTTTGGATATTCTTGAAACAACAACTATTTATTGAGAACCTATACTGGCCAGATAATATGCTAGACACTTATGTGTGTATTACCTTAATTAATATGACTTAAAACAACCTTTTTTGAGTCCATTTTATGTATTGGACACATAGTAACACAAAGTATTTTCCATTCCGTATGTCATTTGATACAGCAACCCAATGAATATATTGGTACTATAGTTATTATTCCTACTTTAGAAGAAGAAATTGAGACCAACAGAGAAGAAGTTTTTGAATATGAGGAACTCAGGTTGCTGTCACGGCTCTGGGTTTGTTTTCTATTCTTTTCTACCTATGGAACAAAAGACTTTTTGTATTATATGTTACCCAAGCTTGCTGCAAAGACTAACTGGGACTTTAACTTAAAATCTCTTTTTGTTTTTCCTTTCCTTTAGGTTATGAATGCTAAGGGTGTCTCCAAGAGTTTAAGCAGGAAGTGTCAGGTGAAGATAAGTTTCTAAGAGGAAAGCACTGGGCAGGCTTGTAAGCGCATAAGCCCAGTTCCAGATAGGTACAGCTTTAGAAATAGCAACCTTAGTCACAAATGAAAAGGCAGTGTTTGTATGTATTTGGTAAAAGAAGTATGGCTCACCTTTCTCTCATTTCCATGAACAGAACAATCCTTTGTCAGCAGTGATATTTTTGAAGGTCAAAGTTGATAAGTTTTGTGCTTCTAAAATATAATGTTGAATCAGAATTCTTTTTATGATGTTTAATCACTATCCAAAGTGCCTAGATAGGAATTTTCTTTAGGAAAGTAAAAATATGTCACCAAGGCCATGAAGGGTTTGATTGTAGCATTGCTTGCTTAGGCAGCTGTGCTTCCGTAGAACTTGTGTAGTGTAAGCTTCACCTGCCATCTTTTCCTTTATCAGCATGGAATTACTTTTCTTTCAATGTATAGTATAATCATTGTCTGCAGTGTTCAATCACTTAATATAAATGAAATTGAATTATGTGTTAATCTATAATTATAGACTAACCAACCTAATAAAAGCATATATATGAAATATCTGTACATTCTGATTTAATGATCTGTTTATTATACTGTAGTACCAGAAATTAGCTGGTTAATTTATAAGTAGACTCGATTCCTGAAAAGTAATTTGTGGAGTACTGGGAAAATTGTGATTCCTCACTGTTTCTCATTAGCATCATTTTCATTTTTTCCTTTTTACCTTTTGGTCTTTGTCTTCACTGAATAGAATATCCTGGCATTTGATTTGGTTCTCCTTCACAACCTGGCTATACTTCAAGCTTGGTTTAAATGCAGCTGTATTTCAAGCTGGGTTTAAGTCTCATCTGTCTCACAAAACTTTCTCTATTTGATCCACCATAATTTTTTTTCTTTTCTGAAATTCTGCTGCTTTTCTCTTCAGCACTGTTTAAATTGTCTTCTAGATTATATACATTGACTTTACTATTTTTTTCCAGCTACATTCATGGATGTTATCTCCTTTCACCCTTGAACCCTAGAAGTAGATAAGATAGGCAATATTATTCCCCATTTTATAGATGCAAAAAATCTTATCTTAGAGGTAGATAAGATAAACAATATTATTCCCCATCTTATAGATGCAAAAAAAAAAGGCAAGTTATTTGATTTCTTCAAGATAAGACTTCAGCCCAAGTCTTCATTCCACAATTTGCTTTCCCTATACTATAATGCCTCAAGTTTTGTACTTTACCGACTACTCCTACCATATGCTGAGCACATATAGATATTATCAGTTGGTTTAAAATAGATTATTTCCTTTCAAACCCCCAATCACTGATATCTGTTTCTTTTTAAAAAGGTACTTGTGGAGTCTTTTATCATAATGGTGGAGCCTTAGTTCTTCAAAGGCACAACATGTTGTGTGATCAAGATTTGAAGTTTGGACTACTGAAATTTTTCATATGCATTCATCAGACAGATGTCATTGACTGTGGACCATATGCCTAATATTAATGCTAACTCAGGATATGAACAAATATTTATTGCATTATTTTGTTAGTAATATCTGGTCTCCTCTTTTTCGTACAGGAGAAATTAAACAGATTCTAGAAAATGAACTTCAGATACCTGTGTCTAAAATGCTGTTAAAAGGCTGGAAGACTGGAGATGTGGAAGACAGTGTGAGTTTAGTAACTGCATAAAAATAAAAGAAAATTAAGTTATGCTATTGACTAAATGATGTATAAAATTGTTTTTTATTAATGTTGTTACATATGTCAGTTGTAGGTTTGGTAATAGCAGCTGAGTTTAAGGAATCAGCAAACAAATGTTTTTCAAGCTAAAACATTTTCATAGTAAACCAACAACAGTTTTAAGTGAGTTAGATATGTAAGTGGCATGTTTTTCCTACTTCTAACTATTTTATAGGAGTTAATTTGACATTCTTTTTTGAGAGCTTTTACATTTTTCTCATACCTCATATGATGTCAGTAAGTGCCTTGGAATAATAATTTTTTTCTTAACATCTTTATTAGAGTATAATTGCTTTACAATGGTGTGTTAGTATCTGCTGTATAACAAAGTGAGTCAGCTATACATATACCTAGATCCCCATATCTACTCTCTCTTGAGTCTCCCTCCCACCCTCCCTATCCCACCCCTTCAGGTGTTCACAAAGCACCAGGCTGATCTCCCTGTGCTATGCAGCTGCTTCCCACTAGCTATCTATTTTACATTTGGTAATGTATATATGTCTACGCCACTCTCTCACTTTGTCCCAGCTTACCCTTCCCCCTCCCTGTATCCTCAAGTCCATTCTCTACGTCTGCGTCTTTATTCCCTTCCCACTAGATCTATTTTACATTTGGTAATGTATATATGTCTACGCCACTCTCTCACTTTGTCCCAGCTTACCCTTCCCCCTCCCTGTATCCTCAAGTCCATTCTCTACGTCTGCGTCTTTATTCCCATCCTGCCCCTAGGTTCTTCAGAACCTTTTTTTTTAAGATTCCGTATATATGTGTTAGCGTACAGTATTTGTTTTTCTCCTTTTGACTTACTTACTTCACTCTGTATGACAGACTCTGGGTCCATCCATTTAACTCAATTTCATTTCTTTTTATGGCTGAGTAATATTCCATTGTATATATGTGCCACATATTCTTTATCCATTCATCTGTCGATGGACACTTAGGTTGCTTCCATGTCCAGGCTGTTGTAAATAGACCTGCAATGAACATTGGGGTACATGACTCGGTTTTTTTTTTTTTTTCTTGCGGTACACGGGCCTCTCACTGCTGTGGCCTCTCCTGTTGAGGAGCACAGGCTCCGGATGCGCAGGCTCAGTGGCCGTGGCTCACAGGCCCAGCCGCTCTGCAGCATGTGGGATCTTCCCAGACTGGGGCATGAACCCGTGTCCCCTGCATCGGCAGGCAGACTCTCAACTACTGCGCCACCAGGGAAACCTTACATGACTCTTTTTGAATTATGGTTTTCTCAGGGTATATGCCCAGTAGTGGGATTGCTGGGTCAAATGGTAGTGCTATTTTTAGTTTTTTAAGGAACCTCCATACTGTTCTCCATAGTGGCTGTATCAATTTACATTCCCACCAACAGTGCAAGAGGGTTTCCTTATTCTCCACACCCTCTCCAGCATTTATTGTTTGTAGATTTTTTAATGATGACCATTCTGAGTGGTGTGAGGTGATACCTCATTGTAGGTTTGTTTTTTTTTTTTTTGTGGTACACGGGCCTCTCACTGCTGTGGCCTCTTCCGTTGCGGAGCACAGGCTCCGGACGCGCATGCCCAGCGGCCACGCCACACGGGCCCAGCCGCTCCGCGGCATGTGGGATCTTCCCGGACCGGGGCACGAACCCGCATCCCCTGCATCGGCACGCAGACTCTCAACCACTGCGCCACCAGGGAAGCCCTCTCATTGTAGTTTTGATTTGCATTTCTCTAACGATTAGTGATGTTGAGCATCCTTTCATGGGTTTGTTGGCAATCTGTATATCTTCTTTGGAGAAATGCCTATTTAAGTCTTCAGCCCATTTTTGGATTGCATTGTTTTTTTGATATGGAGCTGCTTGAGCTGCTTGTAAATTTTGGAGATTAATCCTTTGTCAGTTGCTTCATTTGCAAATATTTTCTACCATTCTGAAGGTTATCTTTTTGCCTTGTTTATGGTTTCCTTTGCTGTGCAAAAGCTTTTAAGTTTGATTAGGTCCCATTTATTTATTTTTGCTTTTTATTTCCATTTCTCTATGAGGTGGGTCAAAAAGGATCTTGCTGTTATTTATGTCATGGAGTGTTCTGCCTATGCTTTCCTCTAAGAGTTTTATAGTGTCTGGCCTTCCATTTAGGTCTTTAATCCATTTTGAGTTTATTTTTGTATACGGTGTTAGGGAGTGTTCTAATTTCATTCTTTTACATGTAGCTGTCCAGTTTTCCCAACACCACTTATTGAAGAGGCTGTCTTTTCTCCATTGTATATTCTTGCCTCCTTTATCAAAGATAAGGTGACCATATGTGTGTGGGTCTATCTCTCTAGGCTTTCTATCCTGTTCCATTGATCTATATTTCTGTTTTTGTGCCAGTACCATACTATGTTGATGACTGTAGCTTTGTAGTTGGTCTGAAGGAAAGGAGCCTGATTCCTCCAGCTCCATTTTTCTTTCTCAAGATTGCTTTGGCTGTTCGGGGTCTTCTGTGTTTCCATAAAAATTTTGAAATTTTTTGTTCTGGTTCTGTGAAAAATGCCATTGATAGCTTGATAGGGATTGCATTGAATCTGTAGATTGCTTTGGGTAGTAGAGTCATTTTCACAATGTTGATTCTTCCAATCCAAGAACATGGTATATCTCTCCATCTGCTTGTATCATCTTTAATTTCTTTCATCAGTGTCTTATAGTCTTCTGAATACAGGTCTTTTGTCTCCCTAGGTAGGTCTATTCCTAGGTATTTTATTCTTTTTGTTGCAGTGGTAAATGGGAGTGTTTCCTTAATTTCTCTTTCAGAATTTTCATCATTAGTGTATAAGAATGCAAGGGATTTCTGTGCATTAATTTTGTATCCTGCTGCTTTACCAAATTCATTGATTAGCTTTAGTAGTTTCTGGTAGCATCATTAGGATTCTCTATGTATAGTATCATGTCCTCTGCAAACAGTGACAGTTTTACTTCTTCTTTTCCAATTTGGATTCCTTTTATTTTTTTATTTTCTCTGATTGCTGTGGCTTAAACTTCCAAAACTATGTTGAATAATCGTGGTAATAGTGGGCAACCTTGACTTTTTCCTGATATTAGTGGAAATGGTCTCAGTTTTTCACCATAGAGGACGATGTTGGCTGTGGATTTGTCATATATGGCCTTTATTATGTTGACCTAAGTTCCCTCTATGCCTGCTTTCTGGAAGTTTTTTTTGCCATAACTGGGTGTTGAATTTTGTCAAAAGCTTTTTCTGCATCTATTGAGATGATCATATGGTTTTTCTCCTTCAACTTGTTAATATGGAGTGTCACACTGATTGTTTTACATATATTGAAGAATACTTTACATCCCTGGGATAAACCCCACTTGATCATGGTGTATGATCCTTTTAATATGCTGTTCGATTCTGTTTACTAGTATTTTGTTGAGGATTTTTGCATCTGTGTTCATCAGTGATACTGGTCTGTAGTTTTCTTTTCTTGTGACATCTTTGTCTGGTTTTTGTATCAGGGTGGTAGGGGCCTCGTAGAATGAGTTTGGGAGTGTTCCTCCCTCTGCTATATTTTGGAAGAGTTTGAGAAAGATAGGTGTTAGCTCTTTTGTAAATGTTTGATAGAATTCGCCTGTGAAGCCATCTGGTCCTGGGCTTTTGTTTATTGGAAAGTTTTTAATCACAATTTCAATTTCAGTGCTATTGATTGGTCTGTTTATATTTTCTATTTCTTCCTGGTTCAGTCTTGGCAGGTTGTGCTTTTCTAAGAATTTGTCCATTTCTTCCAGGTTTTCCATTTTATGGGCATACAGCTGCTTGTAGTAATCCCTCATGATCCTTTGTATTTCTGCAGTGTCAGTTGTTTCTTCTCCTTTTTCATTTCTAATTCTATTGATTTGAATCATTTTTCCTTTTTCTCTTGATGAGTCTGCCTAATGGTTCATCAATTTTGTACATCTTCTCAAAGAACCAGCTCTTAGTTTTACTGATCTTTGCTGTAGTTTCCTTCGTTTCTTTTTCATTTATTTCTGATCTGATCTTTATGATTTCTTTCATTTTGCTAACTTTGGGGTTTTTTTTGTTCTTCTTTGTCTAATTGCTTTAGGTATAAGGTTAGGTTGTTTATTTTGAGATTTTTCTTTTTTTTGAGGTGGGATTATATTGCTATAAACTTCCCTCTTAGAACTGCTTTTGCTGCATCCCATAGGTTTTGGGTTATCATGTTTTCATTGTCATTTGTTTCTAGGTATTTTTTGATTTCCTCTTTGATTTTTTTCAGTGATCTCTTGGTTATTTAGTAGCATATTGTTTAGCCTCCGTGTGTTTATATTTTCCTGTAATTGATATCTAGTCTCATAGCATTGTGGTTGGAAAAGGTACTTGACATGATTTCAGTTTTCTTAAATTTACCAAGGCTTAGTTTGTGACCCAAGATATGATCTATCCTGGAAAATTCCATGAGCACTTGAGAAGAAAGTGTATTCTGTTGTTTTTGGATGGAATGTCCTATAAATATCATTTAAGTCCATCTTGTTTAAAGCTTGTGTTTCCTTATTTATTTTCATTTTGGATGATCTGTTCATTGGTGAAAGTGGGTTGTTAAAGTCCCCTACTATGATTGTGTTACTGTTGATTTCCCCTTTTATGGCTGTTAGCATTTGCCTTATGTATTGAAGTGCTCCTATGTTGGGTGCATAAGTATTTACAATTGTTATATCTTTTTCTTGGTTTGAGCCCTTGATCATTATGTAGTGTTCTTATTTGTCTCTTGTGAGAGTCTTTATTTTAAAGTCTATTTTATCTGATATTAGGATTGCTACTCCAGCTTTCTTTTGATTTCCATTTGCATGGAATATCTTTTTCTATCCCCTCACTTTCAGTCTGTATGTGTCCCTAGGTCTGAAGTGGGTCTCTTGTAGACAGCGTATGTACGGTCTTGTTTTTGGATCCATTCAGCCAGTCTGTGTCTTTTGGTTGGAG